GCAAGTTCCTGGTCACCGAGATGGGCGGCTCGTCTCTGTTTGACTTTATCGAGATGCACAAGTCTCCTCAGGGCGCGTCCATGGTGGGTGGCCACTTTGGGTCTGGTATCCAGGAGAGTGTTATCCGGTCAATCTTTATGCAGCTGTCACTTGCGCTGTATGCCCTCCATCAAAACCGCATTGTCCACGGAGATATCAAGGATGAGAATGCATTGATCACAGTCGACCACAACACCAACACGTATCGTGCGCGGATCTGCGACTTTGGGCACTCAAAACGCATCAAGGAGGGCAGCCTGCCGTCGTTCACCTTTTACGGGACCACGATCCTGGCACCCCCAGAGATGGATGCCAACAATGCACTACGGGAAAAGACGAAGCGGAGCAACATCCAAGCGGAGCACGACGACTGGACGCGGTACTATGGCTACGAGGCGGATGTGTTTGCGATGGGACTGATGCTGTATACCCTGGTGCACGGAGACCTCCCGAGCGAGCTGATGGAGCGAGATCCGAAGCTCCTTGCTGCGTACAAGCGCAGGCGCCGATCTGTCAAGACCTTTCCCTTTGCCGTCCTCCAAAAGAACATTGACGCAGGTAAAAATTGGTTGTTGACTTTGTTGGTGGTGTTGGCTTGTCTATTTGAGATGTTGGTATGGCAACTAACCTTTCTTTATATCTTTTTTTTCATTTGAACACACGTTAGACCTCAAGGATCTGCTGAAGAAGATGCTTGCGGTGACCCCCTCGCGTAGAATCACCATGGCCGAGGTGATCAACCACCCATGGCTGACAAAGTGCTAACTCTCAAGTCTCATTGCATTATTTCTTACGTGCTTTTCTCATATTGTCCATTTACATTTCTTCTTTTTCTCCAACGTCCCCCCTTGCACACCCACTCTCCCACTCTCCCACTCACACATTCACACAACCACACAATCACACACCCACACGCACTTTTCATATGCTCCATTCATCGTTTCCCTTTTATCCCTTTGACACCCAGAGCCAGAACACCCCTTACCATGAATCTACCTACTATTACCCTTCACAGCAAATCAACAGCAGCAACAAACAATAACCAACGACCACCCACTCTCCACTCTACTCTTTTTCATATTCTTCTTCTTTTACTTGTACAATGCCTTTCTTTCTTTCCCTCGTACTTTCTTCTTCTCTTTGGCTCTTGAATAAAAAAAACCAATTGCTCCATTTATTGTTTTGTGGCCATGTCTTCTTATGCGGCAAGGAAGCATCTTTCTCTCAGCTGATTGTTTCCTTCTTCGGTTGGCTCATGACCCCTTCTTTCACCCAGTCCAGTCAGAAAAGAGCAAAGTCAAAAGGACAAGGCCCATGTTTTTTTCATTTGCTTGGCTTTTTTATTACTCCTTTCTTCCCTCTTCTCCTTTTCACGCCTCACACATACACTCTCTCCTCTCTCCTTGTTATTACTTTTTACTTTTTTCCCACTGACACACTTGCGTCCGCTGTCAACAAGGACCTCTTTTTTATTTCACTCCTCATGCATTACTCTACACATGCATCATGGCTCATGATGCTCTTGGTCTGCATGCACCAGACACTTGCCCATAACCACCAACAACAACAGCCTCTACAACTAGAACAACAACTACTACCACTACTGCCAGAAGAAGTACCGTTTCTACCACCAACAATACCCCCAGAAGTAACCACACCCGCACACAACAACGACCCCAATTCACAATGGCCCCTGCACGGCACAGGAAGGATACCCATCGCACCGCAGCCCAAACCAGCACCCACAGAACCTCGTTTCCTTGGATCCGCAGACCCGCCCACCAATTCAACACTCCGCCTCTGGTACCGTCGTCCAGCTGCTTCAACGTCTGTTGAGCAACAAGGGTTCCTGATCGGCAATGGACGTTTACAAACCATGTTCTCTGGAGCTGTCAACTATGAGCGTTTGATATTGAACGAAGAGTCCTGTTGGATTGGGGGTCCTCAGGAGTACGCCTCGTATTGGGGTGGGAATGTTGCTCCCGGGGATGCGGACGAAGCAAAGGAAAAGCGGGAGGCGATCGCGAGGGTTCAACAAGCACTTGCCGAGAAACGGATCTTGAAACCGAGCATGCCGTTTGTGAAGGGTGTTATGGGAGATGAGGAGGGGTTTGGGAGGCAAGTGATGTTGGGGATTGTTGACGTTGAGGAACTCAATCCATTTGAGTCTGTGAGAGACTATCGGAGAGAGTTGGATCTTGGGAAGGGTGTTGCGAGCGTTTCTTATTCTGTTGGCAAGACTCTTTACTCGAGGTAACATAAGGCAAAAAAGCACATGCATTCATGCTGTTTGTTTGTTACATTTGCTTTGCACCCTTTTTTTATGCTTTGTTTTCCTTATCTTTTCACATTGTCCTGTTTGCATTGTTATGACCCTTTCTTTACCTCCGACTCACCTCATTTGTGGTATCAATTGCCAATTGTGGACATATAGGGAGCAGTTTTGCAGCTACCCTGACGGTGTATGCATCTTTAGGATCCAATCGTCAACACCCAGGTCCATCAACATCAAGGTCTCACTCTCAGCATCACCTTATGCCAACACCACTATAACAGACTACAGTAATATCCACAACCGACTCGCATTCACTTCACACCTGGAATCCAACAACCTCACCATTGAAGCACAAGTCGCTGTCAAGACGGAAGGTGCTAGTGGGGTTTCACTCGCCACGAGTCCACAGCAGCTGGTGTTGATGGGGTTTGATGCGGTCACGTTGTACTATGCCTTTGGGACAGGATGGTCAGCGAATGCATTCCCCGAGTTTTTGAATATTGATCCGCATGAGAGGTTGATGGGCATGTTGGATAAGGCTGTGACTGGATGGTATGGAGATTTGGTCGCCAAGCATTTGAGTGATTATTCGGGGCTGTTTTCAAGGTTCCAATTGGAGTTTGGAGATCAGGAAGCTGGCATCACGAGGAATACATTGACGACGGATCAATTGGTGGCCAGGAATGTCAAGGGAACGTTGCCGTCCGAGGAGGAGACTTATTTGGATGTGCTGTTGGTTCAGTATAGTCGGTACCTTTTGATTTCTTTGTCCAGACCGGGGTCTTTGCCACTGACTGGAAACAGTATCTGGGCATCGAATGACAGCATCAGTGGCGTAATCTCGTAAGTACCAGGCTTCTTTTGCATTTTAAGGAAAGGGGTCGTGTGCGAACTGCCAAGTAATTAACAAGCAAAATATTATCTTTTCTTTTACAGGTCTAGGTTTGGAATGAATGTTGACTTGCAGATGCGGTACTGGATGGCCGAGACGACAGACTTGGGCGAGACGGTGACACCATTGATTGATTACATGGAACAACTGTTGCAACCGCGAGGTCAGGACACTGCGTCACTTATCTACAATGCCCGCGGATGGACCACACAACCCTTTTCCAACATTTGGGCACACACTGGACCGTTGTCGGGCACCTCTGCTAAGGATACATTTTATTTCCCCGCCGCGGCTGCCTGGCTCTGTCAACATGTCTGGGACCGATACCTCTACTCACAAGATGACAAGTTTTTGAAGGAGCGAGCCTACAAGTTGATGAAGGGCGCGTCCTTGTTCTGGATGGATACATTGGTCAAGGAGCATGGGAATGGGTCGCTCCTGACGTCGCCTTCTCAGTCGCCCGGGCATGGACCGTTTACGGAGGGATCGGCGTTGGATCAGCAGTTGGTTTTTCAGTTGTGGAATCGGACCCTGGAAGCGGCAGCAACGTCAGCGGTGAATGATAAGGATAAGGCGTTTGTGCAGGAGTTGACTGAGAAATTGACAAATCTCTCGAGAGGGTTGAAGGTGGGTTCTTGGGGTCAGTTGCAGGAGTGGAATTTGGATTTGGACGAGCCTGGTGAAAGGGTGGCGCATTTGGGACCCTTGTATGCTGTTTATCCTGGGGATCAGATTTATTTACAGCAGTTGCGGGGACAGCAGGAGAAGAGTGTTAAGAAGCGAGTGAGTGGAGAGGAAGAAGGGAAGGAGGAGGAGGTGTCGATGGAAGAACTTATTGAGGCTGCGCGTGTATCACTCAGGAGTCGTGGCGCTTCAGGATATCGGTCTGGAAGCAACGGATACGAACAAGGATGGTCGCAAACATGGCGCGCTGCGACATGGGCACGCCTCAACGATGGCCATCAAGCAACCCAAGCCCTCGCGCTCTTCAAACGTCAAAACCTCGCTTCCCCCAACCTCCTCCCCTTATCTCTGAGGGATCTTGCAGGTCATGTTGGGTTCGGGGCAGCAGTCATCGAGATGCTTGTCCAGTCGCCTCGTCCGGGGGATGTGAATGTGATGACCTGTTTTGAGGGATTGTCTGAGCGCTGGGCGAAGCGGGGGAGAGTGAGTGGGGTTAGAACGAGGGACGGGTATTTGGTTTCGGTTGCTTGGAAGGAGCGACGGGTTAGGACGGTGGAGGTTGTTGCTGCGGGAGGGAAGAAGGGCGGTAATTTGAACCTCAGGATTGCGACATTGATGAGCGATAGTGAGAAGGAGTACAAAGTGGAAGTGATTACGGTGGTGATGAAGGGGTCCAAGAAACCGGTGCCGTTTGTGAAGGAAGGGGATGTTGTGCGATTTAGTGTTGCCAAGGGGCAGACGTATACTGTGAGTGTTGAAATTCTGGAACAATGAAGTAACATAAAGAACATAAAGAATAAAAGAATAGAAAATGGAAAAACTAAAGTGTCTTTTTGAATTGCCGAGGTATTTGAATGCTGGTCAGTGACCAAACGTGTGCAGGAAAGATCGTATGAAGAAAAAAAAAATGTGAACCAGTTTAGTGGCGAAACATTTTCCAATTGACGCTGATCATTGATCAAACGCTTCCTTTTCAAGTCATCAGGCACACACTACTAAAAAAAATCAACGTCTTTTGTTTTTGCATGCTACCATGCACCATTGGTCCCAGGACCTCAGAATAGCAATAAAAAAATAAAAAAAGTGAAGCTCCGAAGAGCCGCTCGTTGCTGCTCAAACCAGGTTTCGAACCTGGGACCTTATCTTAGTGAGAGATACGTGATAACCACTACACTATTTGAGCAAAGAGCCTTATTTGGATAAAGGCTCAGCTTTGTCCGTTCCATATTTGTCATCGCAGAGATCTCCGACGTGGTTTGCACCGCCAAAAAGTTTTTTTTTTTAAGAACTCGCGGACGCCGCAAGGAAGCGTTGTCCGTGTGGCGCTTC